TATAAACTCTTATTCTCTCTGTTATGCTGCATCCTAGTTTGTCTGCACCTATTTTAAAAAAGTCATGAGAGGTTGGATGAATCAACCACTTCTATTGAAATGTCTGTATTTTCAAACTTTCTTTTACAGACAGAGAGTTCAACACTTTTTTATTCACCCAGACAACGTAATTTATTGATGCTCATCGAGACAGACGGACCAAATTCTACAATAACCTTAATTATTGAAGTACAAATACATCATAAATAGAAGTGAGACGTAGTTTCATCGCAGTCAAACAAGCTTCGAATCCGAGAGGTGAAGCCGATGTTTAACATGCGATTATGATTGTTGTCGTAGAGTTACTAAATCAACACAGCAGAAACACGCGGCCCCATTGTGCTCGCCTGTTTTGTACTCGTGTACGCGAACCCCACAGGATTCATCCATCTGTTTTTGCAGCTCCCTCTCATGCTGTGCATCTTCAACCTAATAAAAAACTCATGGAGCTGCGCTGACAGCTCTGTGCTGCAGAGGGCTCTGATCAAGAAGATCTACAGCCGCTCTAATGGCCACATCTCAATGCATTTTACCCCACACAGTAAATATGACGGTGGCCAAGTGAAATTTAGGACACAAGGCCGACAGCCCCCGTTTTTTAACAGCCGTGAATCTTTTTTTTAACATGTAAACAGGTTACAGTCATCTAGGGGGTTTGGGAAATAGGAATAAAATGTAAATATAATGATAAAAAACAGATAAACGTTGACTTTTTTTTAATAAACTCCATGGTTTTACTGTTTTGTATGGCAGAAAGAAAATAATCATTTAAGGAGTTTTGCCATCCATGTCTGCGTTGGCTGTTAGTCATTGCGTAAACCCTAAGCCAACGATGAAGTAGCACACAGAAGTATTTTGCTGTATTTTTGGTGCATCTGTTTTCCATTTAACATCCAAGTAACATCCTTGTGTTGTTCCAACCACTGAGAGCTCCAGGCAGAGAACTGGATTTATCCATGAACGGCAGAGGTGTAAGGGTTATTTACCAGATGAGACAAAGGAAAGGTACAACTCCTGCCAAAAACCTGGAGCAGCTCTCTTTGAAACTGTTCCTTTTTCGATGATTTAATATATTTGTGATCACTTTATTAAATGAAAACAGAGTTTATTTTTTTCTTTTTACTACACCCATTTGAACTATTAAAAGGGAACATTATGCAATAGGATCAGATCAGATCCATAGCCTTTTATTCTAACATTCATTCTTAGGAATACAGCACAGCCACAGGGAATATGTTTCTCTGTCATTCTCGTTTTCTTTTTGCGAGTGTTTGGCCCAGAGACTCGTTGGCATGTACACCAGGCTAATAAACAACTGACCGTCAAGTTAAAAGACAACCAGCAAAAACTACTGGGCACCAGATATTCAGTATAATTGTCTTTAAATGTGTGCATATTTATTATATAATACTTTAAATGTAAAATGTATGGAGGACAAAAAGTTCCACCATTAAATAAATAAATAAATACATCATAAAATAATTACTGGAATTATTGAATTAAAACAGGAATTATATACATACATCTGTAATCAAATGTGTACTTAAATGCCAATGCATGTTATATGTATAAAGTTACTTTACTGTTTATTTTTATTGTTGTTTATTATTTATTTCATGGTCTTGTGTTGCAAAAAGTCAATGGGCGGGGCTAAATCTAGTCTGATTGATTCTTTATATTTATTTTGATGGGTGAGTGGAAACTAGGTATAGTGTTCATCTAGCTGCAGTTATTTGTATTTCAGTCATGTATTTAGATCAGGATGAATCATGTTTTTTCTAGACAGAGAGTGATGGAGCGTGCTGTGTGCATTGTGGGATTTGCCCCAGTGGTCTAGGCCTTGTAGCAGCATGTCTGAGGAAAAACCTCTGGAAAAACTTCACACTGGCAGCTGGATACACAGTAGAGAGAGACGCTGACTTAAAGCATGTGACAGTCCGTATCACATTCTTCTCTCAGTTTTTCTTCTTCCTTGTGTATTTAAAGATACGCTGAGCTGTTTTATATTGATGATAATTCAGACAAAGATCATTCCACTTCTACTTGACCACACTGGGGTTTTTAAAGCAGCATAGTCAAAGCTTATAGACAGGCCTTTAAAATGGAAATAGATCTGCTGCGTTCGCGCACTTCCTTACTAGTAGCTTCATTGACTTCAGTAAAGAACAGCGACTACCATCTCTGTATTTTGTCCTCATCATTCACTTCATATTCATTTAATTATGTTTTTTCTATTTTTGACCTACAAGGCAGCCATACATCAGACAGTGTACGTCAGGAGCGGAGCAGCCAAACTGACTTCATTACTTTCAGGGAGGTTATGACGGACCAGGGAAATGCCACTTTAGGAATCCCGTGGGTTCTGCTGCTATGCACCATGAGCACATAATGGAATGGGTGCACTTCTGGTTTCCATGTCATTGGTGCTGAAATGTCAGTGGAGTAATGTGGATACCCCCCAACCCCCACCCACCCCTCTGACACCGCTGCCTTAATTAAACATCATGGACACATCTCTGAGACACATACAGGTAAAACACAGAGGTGAAAGCAGACGCCGGTGGTGGATCAGGGTACTGCGTCACACAGAACCTACAGGAACTGGACGGAGCTGTGTTCATTTATATTTAGAGTGTAAAGAAACACACTTATGCTGTACACTGGGCTCTATGCATGTTCCTTAGCTACAGCTAACATTGTCAAACCCCGATGTATTGTGTAATGTTTACTCAATGTGTAAGGATTTGCCTTCA